CCCTTTATCTTCTGGGGGTTGGTTTAACCCCCCCCCCCAATACTGAAAACTGAGGATAATAGTGAACACTATACATATAGTGTGGTAAAAGAGGGGGGGGCAGATAAATTATTTTCACATGTACTATGAGAACAAGAATGGTCTCTGGCTCCTTCTAATGGCTGGTTCTGATAATACATGTGAAAATAATTTTTCTGAATTATTTTTCTTTCAATATTTTTAATATTTTCAGACCATGGATAAGTAAAACCATGGATACTAATACTGTACTAACTACCCTTCAAAGTTACTTTTTTAAAAAAAGGAGGCCCTAGACACAAAGTCTAAAGCTTTGCAATTATTGTACCTTTGCCACTTCCATATATGTGGTTACTTACTATTGGACTTTGATGAGTGCGTTACGAAAAAACGAATTACAGCCATTACAGTCAGAGTCATCATGCTGGAAACACCAAAAAGGAAACCCATCAGACCATAATAAATGCAGGTTGCATCGCCACCCAGCCAGGTATGATTCCAGGCAGAAGCAATGGCCAGGGGATACATGCTGATGGCCATTCCAAGATCAGTTACTGCTAAATTAACTGTGAGGAGCTCAGGTGACCTGAGGCGAGAGGAGCGCTTCACAGCCACAGCTAGGATGGCAGAATTCCCCAGAATTGTTAAGAATGCTGAAAGAAGGAGGAAAGCAGTATAGTTTACAAGTATTCTCTCACAATTTCAACAACTCACTGCAATGTAGCATGTAACACATAAACAACACTACTGCTGTGACAACAGTCTAATGTGGAGTACTAAAATTTCTAGTCTTCAGTACACTTAACTCCATTAAAGCAGTACACACTGCTTTATTATCGTCTTCAAGAATATTTAAGGAGTACTTTCTCGTGAAGATGACACCATATTAGTGGCAGAAAACAGCAGTAGCTTGAAACAATTACTAATGAAGGTGAAAGAAGAAAGTGCAAAAGGAGGCTTACAGCTGAACAATAAGAAAACAAAAATCATGACTACAGGATAATCACACGAGTTTCAAGTTAACAATGAGGAAATTGAATTCATTAACTGTTTAACTTGACTCAATCTTAAAGCAAAATTGGGATTGTGGCCAAGAAATCAGAAGAAAACAGAGAATTAGAAGGGTAACTGTGAAGAAACTCAAGAAGATCCTTAAGTGTAACAATATGTCACTGGACACTAAGGTCAAAGTCTTCCATACTATAGTATTCCCAATTATTATGTACAAATGTGAAGGTTGAACAATGAGGGAAGTTGATGGGGGTGGGGAGAATTCATTTGCAATGTGAAGTTGGCAGATACCATGGATTCCAAAAGAGACAAATAAGTCCTTGAGCAAATCAAACCTGAACTCTCACTAGAAGTTGAAGTGAGTAAACTGAGGCTAATTTTGGTTGTTGTTATGCACAATTAAGTCATTCCGGCTTAGGTGAACCCTACAAATGAGTAGCCTCCAAAACATCCTGTCCTCCACAGTTCTTATAAACGCAAGATTATGGCTTTTTTTCATGAAGTCAATCTATTATATATTTGTCTTCCTTTTTTCTTGTTGCCTTCAACTTTTCCTAGCATTATTATCTTTTCCAACGAGTCCTGCCTTCTTATGATGTGCCCAAAGTATGACAGCCTTAGCTTCATAATTTTTGCTTCCAGAGAATGTTCCGCTTTGATTTTCTCTAGGACCCGGTTCTTGTTTCAGAGTTTTGAATTTTTTGTTACATTCCTCCAACTATGCAGCAGAAGTAGAGGGGTTCACCTAGCATAATAACTTCTAATTCCCCAGAGTAATCTACCCCTTTACTCATTAACTGCCATTTACAGTCTTAATAACTCACTTTGAGACATTAGTATGAGAAAAAATAAAAGACTGCATTACAGTTGAACAAATCAAACAGCAAACTGACAAACATGACTGCTTTCAGCAGCAGACTTCAAGAGACTCTAGAGAGCAAAATGCAGAGAGCAGAGAGACAACTCTCTTTGAATTCAGAGACAAGGAAGGAACAATTGGTCAGTATTGGATAGATTGAAGTCACTCCACCCCAGAAAGGCCCCTCCTAGCCTAATAATAATA